ATATGTATGGGAGCAAATTTCGATTATGAACTTGAAGTTATGGACTGATTGATGGATGATTAATTTAGGAACCAATGTGTGGTAAGAAAGAAATTAATATAATATCAGAATGAAGGCCACACATGAATTATTGGCTGGTGATTGAACTGTTAAATGCTGAATGCTAAATTGTAAGTGTAAAATATAATAAAACCAAAGGCCCTAAATGACAATAAGAGTATATGACCATTTAACATGTGACTCTTAAATTTAGAAAGGCCAGGCACAGCATGGGCTGACTATAATAAACTTATTAATGTGGGTTTTTGTGTATAAATTGCTTCTAGTAAACACTTTCTAATACTTTTCTAAATTAATGGTAGGAGGGTGAGAATAATTAATTGAAATCTTTGTTAGTGATAGGAATGTCTGGCAGAATGAATTGAGTAACCCAGGTTGAAAGAAAAAGATATAGAGGTAATTTTAGCAAGGGGAAATATCATTTGATGCATTTAAGAACTGCATTTGAGTACGGAAATAATGTAGACACTATGTAAATTACCAATCAACTTGTGCAACATGGAAAGATATGAGACGATAGGAGGGATGCTGGTGGGTGGAGGGTATCTTTGTGTATATATGTGATATGTCTGTTTGTATTTTATTAATGTTGAAAACTCAATAAAAATTATTAAAAAAATAAAAATAAATAAAAAGTAGTTTTTTAATCCATTCCCCAATTTCAGGGACTTTGTCTTGTTTCCAACATTGAGCATATGTCATTCTGGCAGTTGTGATCATATACCACATCAATCTCCTTTTTGCCATATTGACTTCTTCCATTTTAAGTCCCAAAAGTAGTATTTCTGGTTCACAGGGGAGGAAGTTTCATGAGTCACTGCTCACTTCTTCAGATATAGCTAGAATGTGAGTCCATCTGCCCTATATATTGGAAAGTGACTTCAGATGCCAAATGACATTAGCAGGCGAATGACAAGCCAGCTTTTGGAGCTAAAGTCATTGCAGGATGCAGTCTCCGAACAAGGTCCTTTTCTCTAGCAGCCTATGGTTTCCCTCTTCCTTTAGATTCACCCAGCACCATAATTTTGTCTATACAGATCTTGCAAAGGGGCAGATGTGTTGTAGCAGGTTTTTTTTTTAATTCTGTTGCCTTTTCCTTAATTTCTCATTTCTGTTTTCCAAATGACAATAGCAGGTGTGATTTGCAGTGGGGTAGTAGGCATGGAGAAATCAGCATTGGTAAGGAGACAGGACATCCATTTGTTGGCAGTGCTGTAGCTTTGATCATCTTGCATTGAGCGGGGGAGGGTACATAAGAACATAAGAACATAAGAGACGCCAATGTTGGATCAGGCCAAAGGCCCATCCAGTCCAACACTCTGTGTCACACAGTGGCCAGAAATACCAGTGCCATCAGGAGGTCCACCAGTGGGGCCAGGACATTAGAAGCCCTCCCACTGTTGACCCCCCCCCACCAAGCACCAAGAAGACAGAGCATCACTTGCCCCAGAGCCCCTAGCTATACCTTGTGGCTAATAGCCACTGATGGACCTCTGCTCCATATGCTTATCTAATTCCCTTTTGAAGCCGTCCATGCTTGTAGCACCCACCACTTCCTGTGGCAGTGAATTCCATGTGTTAATCACTCTTTGGGTGAAGAAGTACTTCCTTTTATCCGTTCTAACCCGACCGCTCTGCAGTTTCATGGAGTGCCCACGAGTTCTTGTATTGTGAGAAAGGGAGAAAAGTACCTCTTTCTTTACCTGCTCTTTCCCATGCATAATCTTATAAACCTCGATCATGTCACCCCTCAGTCGTCTTTTCTCCAAGCTAAAGAGCCCTAAGCGCTTTAACCTTTCCTCATAGGGAAAGTGTTCCAACCCTTTTATCATTCGAGTTGCCCTTTTCTGCACTTTTTCCAAAGCTATAATATCCTTTTTAAGGTGTGGTGACCAGAACTGCACACAGTATTCCAAATGAGGTCTCACCATTGATTTATATAGGGGCATTATTATATTGGCTGATCTGTTTTCAATACCCTTCCTAATAATCCCCAGCATAGCATTGGCCTTCTTTATTGCAGTCACACACTGTCTCGACATTTTCAGTGAGTTATCCACTACAACTCCAAGATCTCTCTCTTGCTCAGTCTCTGCCAGTTCAGACCCCATCAATGTGTATTTATATTTAGGATTTTTGGCTCCAATGTGCATCACCTTGCACTTGGCCACATTGAACCCCATTTGCCATGTTGACGCCCACTCGCCCATCCTTGACAGATCCCCTTGGAGTGCCTCACAATCCTCACTGGTTTTCACCACCCTGAACAACTTCGTATCATCCGCAAATTTAGCCACTTCACTGCTTACTCCCATCTCCAAATCATTAATGAACAAGTTAAAAAGCAGTGGACCAAGTACTGATCCCTGCGGTACCCCACTGCTTACCACCCTCCACTGAGAAAATTGCCCACCTACACTCACTCTCTGTTTTCTATGAACTAGCCAGTTTTTGATCCATAAAAGGACTTGTCCTTCTATCCCATGATTTTTGAGCTTACTTAGGAGCCTTTGATGAGGAACTTTATCAAAAGCTTTCTGGAAGTCAAGGTAAATAATATCTATTGGATCCCCCTTGTCCACATGTTTGTTCACCCCCTCAAAGAACACTAACAGGTTAGTGAGACAAGATCTTCCCTTACAGAAACCGTGCTGAGTCTGCCTCAATAGGTTTTGTTCATCTATGTGCTTTAAAAAGGGTTCCAGAGGAGATCCGGGAAATTATAGGCCAGGCAGTCTGACATCAATACTGGGTAAGTTGGTGGAAAATGTTATTAAGGAAAGACTTAGTAGGCACAGTAAGCTCAATTGTCATGGAATAAAAGGACAAGTCCTCTTGTGGATCAAAAACTAACTACTTAAAAGGAAACAGAGAGTGAGTATAAATGGGCAATTTTCTCAGTGGAGGGTGGTAAGCAGGAGGGTACCGCAGGGATCAGTACTGGGCCCGATGCTTTTTAACTTGTTCATTAATAATTTGGAGTTAGGAGTAAGCAGTGAAGTGGCTAAATTTGTGGATGACATGAAATTGTTCAGGGTGGTGAAAACCAGGGAGGATTGTGAGGCATTCCAAAGGGATCTGTCAAGGATGGGCGAGTAGGCATCAGTGTGGCAAATGGGGTTCGATGTGGCCAAGTGCAAGGTGATGCCCATTGGAGCCAAAAATCCTAAATATAAATACACGTTGATGGGGTCTGAACTGGCAGAGACTGACCAAGAGAGAGATCTTGGAGTCGTAGTAGAAAACTCAATGAAAATGTCGAGACAGTGTGTGACTGCAATAAAAAAGGCCAACGCTATGCTGGGGATGATTAGGAAGGGAACTGAAAACAAATCAGCCAGTATCATAATGCCCCGGTATAAATCGATGTTCGCAGATCGTAAAACCTTCCGGGGCTCATAGACGGAGAGGCGGTCTCGCAGATACTGACTTTTTTTTAGTATTTATTTATAAGTTTATTATCGAAAGCTGTAAAACTATTAAGATTTTATTATTTATTTATTTATTTATTTATTTCACTTTTACCCCGCCCTCCCCGGTAGGCAGGCTAAGGGCGGCTTCCAGGAGCTGACAAGCAGTATACATTCACAATAAAATATAAAACATCAGTTAAAACATAACCAGTCAATATAAAACATTCATTAGATGGTGATAAAACTAAAGTGCAATTTAGGGACACATTCGGCGGTACTGCCACATTAGCTCGTATGGGATCAGAGTTCGCCACAGGGCGCTGCTGGTAAAACGTCGCTCCTATCGGAACGCCTGCCCGAAAAGTTCTGTTTTCACGGCCCTGCAGAACTGTGACAAGTCCTGCAGGGCCCTGATCTCGGCAGGGAGCTCGTTCCAGTAGGACAGAGCTGCAGACGAAAAAGCCCTCGTCCTGGTTGCCATCAACCTGACTTTCTTAGGGCCAGGGAGGTCCAGGCGGTTTTGGGATCCTGATCGCAGTGCTCTCTGGGGAACATACGGGGAAAGGCGGTCTCTCAGGTAGACCTCCTTCAAGATCGACCTCCTTCAAAGAAAACATCTTTAAAATGTTTTATAGGTGGCACTGGTCACCAGATAGAGTATCCAAATGTTATAAAGATGCTTCGCAAAACGGTTGGAGATGCAAAACTAATATAGGTACATTTTTTCATGTGTGGTGGAGGTGTGAGAAGATATCAGACAGCTAATAATAGAGATAATGGATATACATTTACAACTGTTACCGGAAATATATCTTTTGAACATTATACCAGATTGTTATGGGCACTCTGATGTATACTTGTTGACATATATACTTACTGCAGCTAGAATTCTTGTAGCTAAATGTTGGAAATCCGAGAAATTACCCTCTAGAGATGATTTGGTAGGAAAATTATAGGAAACTGCGGAAACGGACAAGCAATTTTATACGTCAAAGAAAAGATGATAAGATTTTCCAAAAAAGATGGTCCAGAGTTTATAAATGGTATGAAAATAATGTTTAATACCAACTCCAAGGATTGGAATACAGCATGTATTATCGCAGATACTGACCTTGATGTGCTGAGGGTCTGATTCTGTACAAGGCACGCGTCACGTCCGCTGACTGCCATCCTCTCTTCCTCCAGCGGCGTCTCAGCACCTACGTCTGGCTTTTCTTGGGTTACCCCGTCCTCTGCTTGGCCCACGGGTTGGTGTGCTGCATCTCCTGGGTTTTGGTCTTCATCATCCCGGTGTCCAAGATGAACGCCCGCATGATCACCAAGGTCTTGCTGATGCCCCCGGAGCGTGTTCTCGTGCAGCGTCTGAGGAAGGTAATAATAATAAAATAATAATAATAACCTTTCAATTTATTAATTGCTCAATCCTGCAGAGCTTGCTGGCTCTGAGCGATTTACAGTTACTCATTCACGCGGGACTAACAATGATTTATGGGGGTAAGGGAGGACAACATATATCTTTCAAATCACACACACATTCACAGTCGGCGAGGGTTTGTCCAGCTGCACTGTCAGATGTGTTCTGTCGGCATATTCACTTCGGCTTGGCTAGATGACGTCAGCTTCTCCAGGTCTTGCAGCACCGCACTGCCACCGCCTGGCCGGAACGGCCCATTACAGGCTTCTCGGAGTCGAAGAGATTTTTTCTTAGGCTTTCAATCTCGCGAGCTGAGCATTCCGGTCGCCGGCTAACACCTCCCCCACCGGGGGGGGTCTTTGGTGTGCCCACCCTCTCTAAGGAGTGGTACCCATTTTATCTACTCGCTGAAGCTTTTGAACTGCTGGGTGGACGGCGAGCTAGGGACAAGGCTGGTAGCTCACACCAACACGGGGTTAGAACTGACAGCCGTCCTGTTCAGCTCAGATGTTACTAACCAGAGGATAAATCCTCTGTGCCACCGCTCCCCTAAGGAAGGTAAGGAAGTCGGCGCAGGTCGGGGGGGTTTCCTTGCCCCCAAGCACAGTCCATCGATCCACCTCTGCCTCGTTTTGGACACCACATTGTACAAGTGTTTGGCCAAGTGTGGCGATCAAGTACCCTTCGATGAAGTTGGTGCAGGGTTGCATCCACCTGCAACTGTTTTGCGTTATTAAAAAAACGCTTTATAAAACTATGCACAGGGTAGAGAAAGTGGACACAGAAGCCTTTTCCTGTCTCTCCTAAAATACTGGAATTCGACAGCGTCCAGTGAAGCTGTTGGGGCAGTAGATACAGGAAGGACGAAAGGAAATACTTCTTTGCACAGACAGTGATTAAAATTGTAACGTGCTGCTAGCGGGTGTGGTGATGGCCACAGGCATAGACGGCTTTAAAAGAGGATTAGAGAGGTTCATGGAGGAGAGGTCTGTCAGTGGCTACTAGCCATGGTGACTAAAGGGAATGTCCACATTCAGAGGCAGTCAACCACTGAATCCCAGAGCCAGGAGGCAACATCCGGGGAAAGTCTTGGCCTCTCTGCCCTGTTGTTGGCCCTCCAGAGGAACTGGTTGGCCACCATGTGAGACAGGATGCTGGACTGGATGGACCACTGGTCTGACCCAGCAGGGCTCTTCTGATGTTCTTAGGAAGGCCTCAGCCTCTCTGCCCTGTTGCTGGCCCTCCAGAGGAACTGGTTGGCCACCATGTGAGACAGGATGCTGGACTGGATGGACCACTGGTCTGACCCAGCAGGGCTCTTCTGATGTTCTTAGGAAGGCCTCAGCCTCTCTGCCCTGTTGCTGGCCCTCCAGAGGAACTGGTTGGCCACCATGTGAGACAGGATGCTGGACTGGATGGACCACTGGTCTGACCCAGCAGGGCTCTTCTGATGTTCTTAGGAAGGCCTCAGCCTCTCTGCCCTGTTGCTGGCCCTCCAGAGGAACTGGTTGGCCACCATGTGAGACAGGATGCTGGACTGGATGGACCACTGGTCTGACCCAGCAGGGCTCTTCTGATGTTCTTAGGAAGGCCTCAGCCTCTCTGCCCTGTTGCTGGCCCTCCAGAGGAACTGGTTGGCCACCATGTGAGACAGGATGCTGGACTGGATGGACCACTGGTCTGACCCAGCAGGGCTCTTCTGATGTTCTTAGGAAGGCCTCAGCCTCTCTGCCCTGTTGCTGGCCCTCCAGAGGAACTGGTTGGCCCCTGTGTGAGACAGGATTCTGGACGGGATGGACCCTCACTGGCCTGACCCAGCAGGGCTCTTTGTATCTTCTAAAGCAGACCTGAGGAATGTAGCATCTCTTCTGGAGGCAAGTTTCCAACCAGTTGGAATGGAGGTGCTGCTCTTAGCTGTGGAGTTTGGTGACTGTCCAGTTTGTTTTTTTTCCTCCCTCCCCCTCCACTCCCCAACTCCCGGCAGACGGAGGTGCCCCTGGATGCCGACGTGATTCTCTGCTGTTACCGTGCGTTTAACCCTTACTATTACAAATACGCCGTCGAAGGGATCAATGTCTTTGCTGTCAGTATCCTTTTTTTTTCGGTTCTGCGTTTTGGGTAAAGGTAAAGGTTTCCCTTGCTCGAAAGCCAGTCAAGTCCGACTCTAGGGTTGCGGTGCTCATCTCCGTTTCCAAGCCGAAGAGCCAGCGCTGTCCGAAGACGTTTCCGTGGTCATGTGGCCGGTATGACTAGACACCAAGGCGCACGGAACGCTGTTACCTTCCCACTGAAGCGGTACCTATTTATCAACCTGCAATTTCTTGCTTTCGAACTGCTAGGATGGCAGGAGCTGGGACTGGAGATGGGAGCTCACTCCGTCATGCGGTACTCGGGTCTCGAACTGCTGAACTACTGACCTTCCGGTCTGCAGCTCAGCGTCTTAACCTCTGAGCCACTGCAACCCCTACATCTGTTATATACAGTGTCATATATTTTTCCATAAATCCCCTGGAGACGCCCTAGAATCACAACTAATCTCCAGATGACAGAGATCAGTTCCTCTGGAGAAAACCGGTGCTTTGGAGGGGTGGACTGTATGGTATTACACCACACTGAGTTCTCTCCCTTCCCCAATTCCTATCCTCCCCAAGCACCTCCCCTCAAAATCTCCAGGAATTTCCCAGCTCAGTTGGCCCCCTAGACCCAGTGTAGTGCAGTGGCTAAGAGTGTCCAACTACGACATGGGAGACCCAGGTTCGAATCCTGACGTGTGCTGTGGAAGCTGGCTGGGTTTCGGTGTAGTGGTTAAGTGCGCGGACTCTAGTTTGGGAGAACCGGGTTTGATTTCCCACTCCTCCACTCGCAGCTGCTGGATGACCTTGGGCAAGCCATAGTTCTGTCAGAGCTGGTTCTTGAAAAAAAGCCATTTCTGTCAGAGCTCTCTCAGCCCCACCGACCTCACAGGGTGTCTGTTGTGTGGAGGGGAGGGGAAAGGAGTTTGTAAGCCGCTCTGAGACTCCGAGTGAAAGGCGGGGTCTAAATCCAATCTCTTCTTCTTCTTCTTCTCTTGGGCCAGCCACATTCTCTCAGCCTTACCTACCTTGCAGGGTTGTTGGGAGGACAAAAATGGAGGTGAGGAGACTTTTTGGGGAGAAAGGCGGGACACCAACGAAGGAATGGATTAAATAATAAAATATTCCCCAGCAGCAGCCTCTGGGTGCCAGACTGCGAGCCTCTGTAGACCTTGAGTAAAGGAGAATTCGTTTGCAAAACTTCTACGCTTCCCGCAGAGTCCTTTTACATGTCTGTCCTGCAGAGGGTTGTTGTTGTTCAGTCGCACAGTTGAGTCCGACTCTTCGCGACCCCATGGACAAGATCTCGCCAGGCCCTCCTGTTTTCCGCCGTCCTCTGAAGTTTGCTCAATTTCATGTTCGTTGCATCTGTGACACTGTCTAACCATCTCACCCTTTGCCGTCCCCGTCTTCTTTGACCTTCAGTCTTTCCCAGCATCAGGGTCTTCTCCAGTGAGTGCTCCCTTCTCATTTCGTGGCCAAAGTATTTGAGCTTCAGTTTCAGTCTCTGGCCTTCCAGGGAACAGTCAGGGTTGATTTCTTTTAGCACTGACTGATTTGATCTCCTTGCAGTCCAAGGGACTCTCAAGAGTCTTCTCCAGCACCATAGTTCAAAAGAATCTATTCTTCGGCGCTCGGCCTTCCTTATAGTCCAACTCTCGCAGCCATACATGACTACTGGGAATACCATTGCTTACCTAAAAAGGTAAGCCGAACTGAGCAGAGGGCCAACAATTAAGACTTAACATAAATACATGTATTTTTATATATTATATATTTGTAAAGGATTAAAAAACATATAGGGGCCCAAGTACACCTCATATAAAAATTCCAAAATCATATGTACAGACAAGAGCCAATGGACTTGACCTGTTGCGTTTCGGCCTGTTTCGGCCTCCTTCAGAGGTCGAACACAACGAGGAACAAATTGGCTTGCACCATAATACATAATCAATGCTCCCTCTAAGCTGTGGCGTCTTGTGAGCAACAATTCTACTCTGTGAGCTGCCAGCATTAAAGTTGTGAGTGCGTGCTTTGGCTACTGCATAAATCGGTTTGCTGCGGAGCCATCCCTTCCTGAGCGAAGTCAAAAATGTGTGAGCCGGAGGCTAAAAAACTTTGAGCTGGCTCACACTAACTCAGCTTAGAGGGAACACTGTACATAATACAGTACAATTATGCAGCATGGATACAAAATGGCCCTTGTGTGTGTATATATATGATTTTGGAGTTTGTATATGAGGTGTAATTGGAACCCTGTATGCGGTGGCTCAAGTGGTTAAGACGCTGCACTGCAGGCTGTGGAAGGTCGGTAGTTCGGCAGTTCGAGACCCGAGTGTGCCGCATGACAGAGTGAGCTCCCGTCTCTAGTTCCAGCTCCTGCCAACCTAGCAGTTCGAAAGCAAGAAATTGCAAGTCGATAAATAGGGACCACTTCGGTGGGAAGGTGACAGCGTTCCGTGCGCCGTGGTGTTTAGTCATGCCGGCCACATGACCACGGAAATGTCTTCAGACAGCGCTGGCTCTTCGGCTTTGAAACGGAGATGAGCACCGCAACCCTAGAGTCGGACTCGACTGGCTTTCGAGCAAGGGAACCTTTCCCTTTACCTTTAATTCTTTACAGATAAAGACATGCATTTTTATATATTATATTAAGTTTTGTTTGGCCTGTGCTCAGTCTGGCTTACCTTTTCAGGCTCTTGAGCCTAGGTTTCAGGGTTTAAGTTTGTTTCCCTTTTTGATTCACAGTCTGTCCTGCAGAGGGAAACAGGTTGGCTTGGTTTAGAAACTAGATGTGGGGATGAAATTGTATTCCCCCACACACACACTCATTTGGGACAAAAAAGCAGGGCTCGTCCGGGATTTGAACCCGGGACCTCTCGCACCCTAAGCGAGAATCATACCCCTAGACCAACGAGCCAGCTGTTGCAAAGGCCTCCCAGATGTTCTCTTCAGGCAGACCGGTAATTGCCGGCTTGCATGACAGGGTTGTGCTCCTGGCAGGCAAAGAGGAGGAGGAGGAGGAGGGTTGTTTCTCCAGCCCGGGGGGGGGGGGGCTTCGCAGAGCTCTTAACCCTTTCCTTGCTCAGATGGCAGTGATCCTTCCAAGGCCAAAAAACGGATTTTCATGCCAGGTCTGGAGAAGAGCTCTTCCAAGCTGGGAAGAGAGCCAGCCGGGTGGGGTGGTGGGGGGAGAGAAGCCAATTCAAGGAGCAGCTCACCCGGCAGATTTTTGGAACCGCCGGGTGTGGAGCCCACAGAAAAGCAAGCCTGCCTCGTTTCCGTGGACGTGGATGAGAAAAGAGCACACGTTTAATTGCCTGCCGCCCTGCACTTGAGCACGCTTACTGGGGAGCAAGACCCACTGAACTCGGGGCAGTTTTTTTTTTTTCCTGGGTAAAGAGACCTGAAATTGAGCTGCAACTCTAAGGACAATTACTAGCAGTTTTAGGGATGCCAACTTTCACCACTCCTCTCTGCAGCTGTGCCTTGAATAAGGAAGGTCCTGCTGCACGGACCTCGGCAGGGGGTCTGGTTCAGGCAATAAACTGTTGCTCTTAAAAGCAGAATCGTAAGCCAGAATAGTGTCTCTCCCCCCCCCCCCCGCCGCCTTTTTTCTTCTGCAGATGTAACTCCCGAGATTGCTTTGTCAAGGAGGAGGAAAAGAGAGAAGAGGACTTGAACCCGTGGCCAGTGTTCCCTCTGAGCTGAGTTAGGGTGAGCCAGCTCACAGTTCTTTAGCCTCCGGCTCACACATTTTTGTCTTGGCTCAGGAAGGGAGGGCTCCAGAGCAAACTTATTTATGCAGCAGCCGAATCCCCTGCTCACAACTTTAATGCCGGTAGCTCACAAAGTAGAATTTTTGCTCACAGGACTCCACGGCTTAGAGGGAGTGTTGCCCCTGGCTCCCTGGCCGTTTTCTCACTGAACAAAACTGGCCCCCTCAGTTGCTTTTGCGCCTGCTGAGGAAAACTTGCAGGTGAACATACATATATATTGGGGGGGGGGGTGGCATTTAAAGAAATTAACAAGGGGGGAAAGGATTAGCGTTTTCCTTCTTCCCTCTTCCCACGATGATGTTCTCCTCTTGGATAAAGCGGTCCTGGCAGCTAAATTTGAGGGCGGGGGGGATTTTAAAGGAAACGCGAAGGAAAGCTAGAGCCCCCGCGGAACTCAGTGGGCCTCACTTCTAAATAAGCAGTATTTAATATCAGGCTGCAGGCGGGGTGCCAACCTCCAGGCGAGAAGGGTTGCCTGGCCCCTGGTCTGGTCTGGGGTTCCCCGCTTTTTGGGGGCCCTTGGCAAGCAGAGGGGGGAGAACCCACCCACAAACGGCCCCAATGTGACATAATGATGTCACTTGGTTATGACGTCATCACATCGCTGACATTGGGGGGAGGATGCTCTAGTTTTTGGGCAAAACTCTGTGGTAAAATTAAAAATGGGGCTAAAACAAAAGAGTCGGGCCCAAAAACAAGACCCCCCCCCCCCCCCCGCCGGCAACAATCCGGAAGTGACGTCATCACAGCGCACACGACAGAAAATCCCAAAACAGATCCGGGCGCTCCCCACTGGAAACCAGGCAGGACCTGTCGCCACCCTACAACTGAGGCCTGGAGAATTGCATCCTATCTCCCGACGACAGAGATGGGTTCCTCAGGAGAAAATGGATGCTTTGGAGGGTGGGCTCTGTGGCATGGTACCCCGTTGAAGTCTCTCGGCTTCCCAAACCCCGCCCGCTTCAGGCTTCACCCCCCCCAAATCTCCAGGAATTTCCCAACCTGGAGTTGGCAACCCTCATGTTGGGCCTTTGGTAATCTCTGGCTGGGTGACTCTTAGAGGAACCAGAGCTGTTCTCTTCTCCTTTGGTAACCTGATTCCAAGCCATGGATGAAGAAAAAGAAGAGATTGAATTTATACCCTGCCCTTCACTACCCAAGGGAGTCTCAGAGTGGCTCACAAACTCATTTCCCTTCCCCCCCCCCCACAACAGACATCCTGTGAGGCGGGTGGGGCTGAGAGAGCTCTCTTGAGAACTGCTCTTGAGAGAAGAAGAGATTGGATTCATACCCCGCCCTTCACTACCCAAAGGTGTCTCAGAGGGGCTTACAAACGCCTTTCCCTTCCCCTCCCCACCACAGACACCCTGTAAGGTTGGCGGGGCTGAGAGAGCTCTTGACAGAAACTGCTCTTTTTCAAGGACAGCTCTTATCAGAACTACATGTGTTGAATAAGATGAATTGGTTGCAAAAAAGTCATTGCTGAAGGAAGAAGAAATTAATCATATTGGGAAGAGAATTACTACTCCCTTTGAAAAATTGGTAAAAGAATATGGAGAAGATAAGGCAAAAATAGTTTCAAAATTGTATAAGGTGTTATTAGGCATAGTTTTGGGATCAGATTGGAATAGAAATGTTGGGGATTGTGGGAAGAAGGGTTAGAATATCTAAAGCAATGGCACTTATTAGTTTGGATGGTATAGGGTTAAGGTTAAAAGAGGAATGTAAATGGATAAATTTGATGTTAGTAGCAGCAAGACAAGTGATTGCAAGGAATTGGAAAGCTGAGGAACGGACGATTAATCATTGGAGGGAAAAAATGAATAATATAATAATTTTAGAGTATCTTACAATGAAGATACGTAGAATGAATAGGTTAAAGATCAAGAGGAGGACTGGTTTAGAAGGATGGCGGGGTATTTGGGAAAGTTTAAAAAATTTGGGGTGATTAGTCAGTTAATAGGAAATTGCGAGGTTAATTTGATTATAAGATTAAGATGGAAGGTTAATAGAGTAATAGAGTTGTACTGAGATTGATTGTGATATAATACTGTATGGAATTTTATTCATGTCTCTACTGCCTGGAAGTTGCACATGGGGGGTGTTGGTGTTGAACATGTTTTATGAAATAAAAACAATATTAAAATAATAATAATAAAAAAACACTACAACTTGCCCAAGGTCATCCAGCCAGGTGCAAGTGGAGGAGTGGGGAATCAAACCCGGTTCTCCCAGATTAGAGTCCGCGCACTTAACCACGACACCAAACAAGAGAAGAAGAGATTGGATTTATACCCCGCCCACTACCCAGAGGAGTCTCAGAGCGGCTCACAAACGCCTTTCCCTTCCCCTCCCCACAACAGACACCTGGTGAGGTAGGTGGGGCTGAGAGAGCTCTTGACAGAAAGTGCTCTTTTTCAAGAACAGCTCTTATCAGAACTACGCCTTGCCCAAGGTCATCCAGCAGGTGCAAGTGGAGTAGTGGGGAATCAAACCCGGTTCTCCCAGATTAGAGTCTGCTCGCTTAACCACTACGCCAAGAGATTGGATTTATATCCTGCCCTTCACTCCCTGAAGGAGTCTCAGAGCGGCTTCCAATCTCCGTTCCCTTCCCGTCCCCACCCTGGGAGCAATGTTCCCTCTAAGGTGTGGAGTCTTGTGAGCAAAAATTCTACTCTGTGAGCTACTGGCATTAAAGTTGTGAGCGAGCGGTTCGGCTGCTGCATCAATTAGTTTGCTCTGGAGCCATCCCTTCCTGAGCTAAGACAAAAATGTGTGAGCCGGAGGCTAAAAAACTGTGAGCTAGCTCACACTAACTCAGCTTAGAGGGAACACTGCCTGGGAGATGGGTGGGGCGGAGAGAGCTCTTTCGAGGACTATCCTTGAGAGAACAGCTCCAAGAGAGTTTGTGGCTGACCCAAGGTCATGCCAGCAGCTGCACGTGGAAGAGTGGGGAATCAAACCTGGTTCTCCCAGATAAGAGTCCGCACTCCTAACGACTACACCAGACTGGCTGTTGACAGTTTAAAATTCAGATGAATAATAATGATTTTGATTTACTCTGTGCCCCCTTCCTTCTGCAGCAGTCCGGTGGGGGGTACCAGGGAGTGATGCTCAGAACGGAGTCCTTATTCTCAGCTCCTGGGCCAGGTCTTCCAGAGGTGCAGAGGTTCAACCCTGTGGGGAAGCCCTATATTCTTGAATCCCTGAACTATGGGGATAGGCATTGATTGGTGAGAGGGAAGCACTCTGCCGATGTTCAGAGAACACTTCCGCAAAGTGAAATGGGCCGTCCAACGAGATTTCCCCAGGGCTCTTCGGTTCAGGTTGAGCCATGTTTATTTTATTTATTTATATTTATTTATTTATTTATTTTTGGATTTATATCCCGCCCACCCCGAAGGCTCAGGGGGGCTAACAAAGAGGCACAAGTGCCAAAGTTAAAACAAATAAAAGCAGAATAAAACAGTACAATACAAAACACTAAAGTGTTGGTGCTCTAGATGTCCCGTAATCATGAATTGCAAGATGGGTTCTGGAAAAACTTATTAATTCCAGACCAGCAGCTTACCTCCTAGCAGCACAACCATCCCATCTTCATCCAGGGACGTCTCGCACCCCATTTAATACCCAAACAATTGGTGGTTGAGGTGCGATGATGGAGGGTAACAGTAACGATGATGGAATAGTGGTGGCGGCGGCTCCCACTCGAAAGTCTGGCGGAAGAGCTCCGTCTTGCAGGCCCTGCGGAACTGCGCAAGGTCCCGCATGTGTACTGACCACTCACAGGGCATGGCTTACGGGCTAGTTTCTAGCTTCAGTCGGAACGGACACATGAAGCTACTTAATACTGAATCAGACCGTTGGTCCATCAAGCTCTGTAATTGTCTGCTCAGGCTGGCAGCCGCTCCCCAGGGTCTCAGGCGGAGGTCTTTTCCATCCCCTCCTGCCTGGTCCTTTTAACTGGAGATGCCGGGGATTGAACCTGGGACCTTCTGCATGCCAATCAGGTGCTCTGCCACTGAGCCATGGCCCCTCTTTAGGGCTCTCCAGGGTCTTAGGCTGAGGTCTTTCCCATCACCTCCTGCCTGGTCCTTTTAACTGGAGATGCCGGGGATTGAACCTGGGACCTTCTGCCTGCCAAGCAGAGGCTCTGCCACTGAGCCACGGCCCCTCTTCACAGCTCTCCAGGGTCTTAGGCTGAGGTCTTTTCCATCACCTCCTGCCTGGTCCTTTTAACTGGAGATGCCGGGGATTGAACCTGGTACCTTTTGCATGCCAAGCAGAGGCTCTGCCACTGAGCCACGGCCCCTCCCCGAAGTAGCGAGGGAATATTGAGGACGTTCAGCCCATCTATGCATCGCAAGCACCCTCCAGGGGTCCAGTTCCACTTACCTGAAGGGGAGACACCGATGCCAGGAGGAAACAGTCTTGCAAGGAACCACGGGCTCTTTTCCCTTAATCCGCTCGCACTCAGACCTGTTTGGCCTCGTGGTCGTGACGCTGGTCCTGGGCTACGCCGACAAGCACAACCATTACACCTCCTCCATGGCGAAGTTCACCTTGGCGCTTGTCTCCATCATGCCCCTGTCGTACTACATAGGCATGGCGATCGCCAGGTAAGGCGCTTTTGTTTTCTAATCACCATGAAGACTAGAAACGCGGCTGGTCAACCTGGCGCTGGGATTTCCGGCTTCTGTCACCTTCCCTTTTTATTTGCTTGCTTTGTTTATACCCCTCCTTTCCCCAGTGGGGGCTCAAGGTGGCTTCCATCTGGCTCCTCTCCTGTTTTATCCTCACAACAACCCTGTGAGGTAGGTTAGGCTGAGAGGGTGTGACTGGCCCAAGGTCGCCCAGCCGGCTTCCAGGGCAGAGTGGGGATTTAGCATCACGGAGCTGGAAGGGGACATAGAGGCCATCTAGTCCAACCCCCTGCTCAGTGCAGGATCAGCCTAGAATGGGGTGACCAAACTCGCTTAATGTAAGAGCCACACAGAATAAACGTCAGACGTTTGAGAGCCGCAAGACAGGAACAAATATTACAAGCATGTTTTTATTTTAAAATATGCAAATTTGCTTTTTATCAACATTAAATGAGACTGCCAAAAGTAAAAACAAAAGGAGTAAAAACAGATATTGATAATGATATTCATTTGTCCAATTATATTTATTTGTTTGCTAATGATATTTGTCTTGTCTGAGAGAGAGAGGTGGAAAGAATGAATGAAAGAGGTGGAAAGAAAGAGAGAGAGAGAGAAACAATGAAAGCAAATAGATGGGAGAGGGAGAGAGAGGTTAGGAGGAAAGCAACTTTAACCTTAAATGTGTCCTCCAAGGCCCCCCCCCCCCATGCCAGCTGGCTTGGCTTGGAGTAGGGATTTAAAGAGACCAATGCAGGGCCGGCTCAAGGTGCTTCTGCGCCCTAGGCGGGCACAGATGCCAACCTCCCGGTGGGGCCTGGAGACTCTTTTGCCGCCCCAGAAGCCCCCCTCCCCGCATGGCCAACCCGACACCTGCAGCGGGGGACGTGGGCGAGGGGCCAACTGGGGGTGCCGATGGGGACAAGAGAAAAAATCTCCCGCTGCCCATTCAGGCTCCTCTGCCTCCTGCTGCAGCCTGTGCTGCTGCCGCCTCCTCGGCTGCAGAGCGGGACCAAGTGCCGGAGGGGGCTGCAGCCGGGACAGGGAAGGGGTCTGGAGCGCACCCGGGGCCAGGCCGCCACTATCTACGAGGCCGTCTCTGGATTAGCTGAGGAGGAGGAAGAGGAGCCCCCCTCCGCCCCCCCCCGCGGCGCCCTCTGCCTTCTCGTCGCCTTCCTTCCGTCCTCCCTTCCCTGCTTCCCTCCCTCGCAGAGAAAGAGAGAGCGGCGAGGGGCGGGCAGCCGGTTAGGGGGCGGCGGCAGCAGGGCGCAGTTTGGCGCCCCTGAGGGCCGGCGCGCCCTAGGCAAGTGCCTAGTTCACCTAGCGGGCGAGCCGGCCCTGGACCAATGCCTTCTCCAGGCTGGCCATTGGGGTAGGGGCTTTGAGAACGCATTTAAAGCTAAAGTTGCTTTCTTTTTCTGCGCCCTTCCAACTCAAGCCTACCCAGGGAGGGAAACACTGGCTGGGGAAGGGAAGACCGATCGGGGAGGCATGCGGTCCCCTTCGTTCCTCCAGCTGCCCTGCTGGGGAGCCACAGTTTGGCCACCCCTGGACTAGAGTCCCTGCTAAGTGTTTGCCCAGATGCAGCTTGAAGACTGCCAGTGAGGGGGAACTTACGTCCCCCACCCCACCCCGGGAGCCAGTTCCCTTGGCAGCGTATTTGATCCTAGACCATCGTCCAACACGCTAAACGATGGGTGTCGAACTCATTTGTTATGAGGGCCAGATCTGACATAAATGAGACCTCATCCGGCCGGGCCACGTGTGTCATAAAATGTAATGCCAGGTAGCGGAGATACAAACTTTATAAAGGACACAAAAACGAAGACTTTTTTTTTAACTTAAAATAAAAACATGCTTAAAACATTAGCTCTGTGAGCTGCAAACCTAGTTTTGATTTTGTCGACACTCACCACAGAAATCTCATGCTCAGAGTTCTGAGTCTAGGACCCAGGTTAAAACATGAAATGGCTGAGCGATTAAGAGAGTCTGGCGAAGCAAGCTAGGATGCAGCAGCAACAGCAGCAACAGAACTGGAAGCAGGAGACGGCCAGTTCCACTGCGGGCCTGATGGAACTGCAGGCCTCATCCGGCCCCCGGGCCACATGTTTGACACCCCTGCGCTAAACACTATGCCACTGTGGCTCTCTGGGAACTAGGTTCCAAACTGTGGACAGTTTTGCCTCTGTAGCTTGCGTGAGCTACTGGGTTTCTTGATACAGAGGGAGAAGATACTGCCCACCTTGATAAAACAGGCATTTAAAAAAAAAAAAAAACAGTTAGTTCCTGGTAGCCCACTTGGCTTCAGTAAAGATTCGAATCTGGTGCATCCCCGCACCTCTGATTTTCCCAAAGCGAAAGGGCAAAGGCAAGATGAGAAACTTCCTCTGTGGAGCCCCAAGGCGGATTACGAGAGGAGAAGAGAACAAAAGAGATTACAATTTATACCCCGCCCTTCACTACCCAGAGGAGTCTCAGAGCGGCTCGCAAACGCCTTTCCCTCCCCCTCCCCACAAGAGACACCCTGTGTGGCAGGTGGGGCTGGGAGAGCTCTCTTGAGGACTGCTCTTGAGAGAAGAGGAGATTGGATTTATACCCCGCCCTTCACTACCCAAAGGAGTCTCAGAGCGGCTGACAATCTCCTTTCCCTTCCCCTCCCCACAACAGACACCCTGGGAGGCAGGTGGGGCTGAGAGAGCTCTCTTGAGAACTGCTCTTGAGAGAAGAAGAGATTGGATTTATACCCCACCCTTCACTACCCAAAGGAGTCTCAGAGCAGCTCACAAATTCCTTTCCCTTCCCCTCCCCACAACAGACACCCTGGGAGGCAGGTGGGGCTGAGAGAGCTTTCTTGAGAACTGCTCTTGAGAGAAGAAGAGATTGGATTTATACCCCGCCCTTCACTACCCAAAGGAGTCTCAGAGCGGCTCACAAACTCCTTTCCCTTCCCCTCCCCACAACAACAGACACCCTGGGAGGTTGGTGGGGCTGAGAGAGCTCTGAGAGAAACGGCTCTTTTTCAAGAACAGCTCTTGTCAGAACTACGGCTTGCCCAAGGTCATCCAGCAAGTGCAAGTGGAGGAGTGGGGGAATCCAACCCGGCTCTCCCAGATTAGAGTCCGCGCACTTCACCACAACACCAAACAGGCGCACTTAACCACAACGCCAAACTGGCACAAAAGGTGAGAAGCCATTCTGTCGGACAGCAAAGACCACCAGCAAACAATGCAGGAGGACAGAACTGGGGAACTATGCTAAGGAAAAAATTTCCAGGGCATGAATACTGCAGCGACGATCCGCTGAAGCTGGGGGAGGCAGAGGCCGGAGAAACAGAACTGGTGGGGACAGGACGCATTGTTCCCTCTACGCCGAGTTAGTGTGAGCCAGCTCACAGTTTTTTAGCCTCCAGCTCGCACATTTTTGTCTTCGCTCGGGAAGGGGGGCTCCAGAGCAAACTAATTTATGCAGGAGCCAAATCGCTCGCTCACAGCTTTAACGCCGGCAGCTCACAAAGTAGAATTTTTGCTCACAAGGCTCCACAGCTTAGAGGGAACATTGAACAGAAGGTGTTTCCGGGCTTCAAGCAAGCCGACCTTCTGAGCTTTGCCCCATGGGTAGTGGGCAGGTGGGGACGGGGCACACACCGGGTGTGCGAGGCTGTGTGGATGGTGCTAATGGAAAGGCGTCTCGTGCTGTGATAACCAGCCAGTAGACTTTGCGCGGACATACAGAGGTTTTTAGCTTCGGATGGTTAGCCCTGTTGGTCCCTTGATCTTCCAGAGCCAGTTTGGTGCAGTGGTTAAGAGCGAAGGACTCTAATCCGGGGGAACCGGGTTTGATTCCCCGTTCCTCCATGTGCAGCTGTCTGGTGTGACCCTGGGTCAGTCACAAGTTCTCTCAGAGCTGTTCTCTCAGGAGCAGTCCTCGAATGAGCTCTCTCACCCCCCCACCTGCCTCACAGGGTGTCTGTTGTGGGGAGAGGAAGGGAAAGGGGTTTGTAAGCTGCTCTGAGACCCTGAGTGAAGAGCAGGGTATAAATCCAGTCTCTTCTCTTCTTCTTCTAGACGTAGGTATAAAATTTTATTCCCCCCTACCCACTCGTCTCTGTCTCTCTGCCTGTGCTGCTGAGGGAAAAAGAAGGGCTCGTCCGGGATTTGAACCCGGGACCTCTCGCACCCAAAGCGAGAATCATACCCCTAGACCAACGAGCCAGCTGTTGCAGAGGCCTCCCAGATGTTCTTTTCAGGCAGACCGCTAATTGCCGGTAATTGCCGGCTTGCATTATTATTATGGGTTTTGCTCCTGGCAGGCAAAGAGGAGGAGAAGGAGGAGGAGGAGGATTGTTCCTCTAGTCCCAAGGCTCTCCTGGCCCCTCCCAGAGCTCTTAACCCTTTCCTTGCTACAAGGGCTGCGATCCTTCCAAGCCCTAAAAATGGATTTTCTTGCCAAGTCTGGAGAAGAGCTCTTCCTGGCTGGGGGGGGGGGGGGGGGGGGGGGAGAGAAGCCAATTCAAGGAGCGGCTCACGCAGCACATTTTTGGAACAAGTTCTCTCAGAGTTGTTCTCTCAAGAGCAGTCTTTGAGAGAGCTCTCTCAGCCCCGCCTACCTCACAGGGTAGGAGACTGTAAGCCACTCTGAGTGGTGGGGTATCGTCATCTCCTTCTCCTCCTCCTCTCAGCCCCACCTGCCTCACAGGGTGTCTGTTGTGGGGAGGGGAAGGGAAAGGAGACTGTAAGCCACTCTGAGTGAAGAGTGGGGTATAAATCCAATCTCCTCCTCCTCCCAGCCCCACCTACCTCCCAGGGTGTCTGTGGTGGGGAGGGGAAGGGAAAGGCGATTGTGAGCCGCTCTGAAACTCCTGTGGGTAGTGAAGGGCAGGATATAAATCTTAATCTCTTCTTCTTCTCTTCAGTAGAACAGCTAGATTTGGGTCCCATAGCACCTTTGAGAGCAACAAGATCTTCGGGGTGTGAGGTTCC